TTTGGAAATAGTTTATTTCATTCTTCAGTACCATGTTTAGGTATGTGCAGGTGTTCATATAAAACAGTGATTTTTCACTGGGAAAAGCTGAATGCCAGCAGTCTAAATGTGGGCGATTCTGTCACCACAGTGCTTTCTAAAAGGCTACTAAAAATATGAGAAGGAATTCCTAGCTGTAAATTATAAGACACGGAAACTACTGTATTCCACGTACTTTCTTTTTTGTGTCTGCGTCTTCTCGAGACACCATCCTTTCCTCTTGCTTTTGATGCTGAGCTTCAGTGTAACGGCACTATCCCTTTAAAGTTGGTGCTCCATACTGGGAGGTTTTTTGGCTTTATCAAACCAAAAAGCATTTTTTTCTGTCTTTGAAGGATTATTACTTTTTTTTTTTTCATTTTCAGGATAATTAAAGCTTTTTGTTCAAATAAAATCCAGTGTCCCCTTGCCCTCTTTTCCTATTTGATCCTGTATGTGAACCACTCTTGAAGGATAGTCAGCGTTTCTACTCCAGTGTCTGATACCAGGTGTAGAGCTTGAAGGAGAAATACATTTGACTTGTCAGGAAAAAAAAATATTTTAAGGCTTCTCTGATTAGGGAAATTAACCAGTATAGCTTTTATCAGAGTAGTTACTTGTGTGTAACTACCCATTTGTATGTTCTTATTCCAGAAAAATAAGCAAACAACTTTATTGTGGATGAAATAGTAAAAATGATTCCTAAATGATTCTCACTGGTTAAGAGGGGGAAGGAATAACAGCGTAACTGCAGCAGAATAGTTAAGCCAATCTTTTCATTGTGTAGATCATAACAGAGTATTATATAAAATATGATGAACACATACTACCTACTCCTAAGTTCGTACCACGTGAAAATGCTTTTTTTTGGAACAAGTCCATCCATCTGCAGAACCATCGGTAACGTGGCGTCCTGCAGGGAGATATGGTTACAGAGAGCCTCTGACATTTCATGCCACTTCTTTCTCTCTCGCTTCTGTATTTGTTACTTTAGCTGTGGTGTTGCAGTGACTTATTCCAAGTAACAGAGTGGCTATGATTCCTTTGTTGCTGCACAGCTTTTATTTCCCAGCGTGTCTACTTAGGCTAGTTCGGGACTCTAGATTTGCCCTGCCAAAAACAATTGTTTACACTGATGCATTGATCACTTGTCTTTAGCACTGTTTTGCCATTAGATGGGAGTTGGTTGGCATCGTTTATGTTTGTAGCAGGAACCAAAAGTCTCAGGAAGAAAATAAAGATCTGCTTCCCGTGACCTGTAATGTAAAAGCCAGACGAGCTTGTCTGCAGCTTGCACTAGTCATGAAAATTGTACTGCAGCGTGAAGCAGACCGTACTGTGAAAGGAGATCACTTAATGTGCATGTTTATCCTTGAGCAACGGGACACCTCATCTTCAGTTCAGGGATCTTACTGTTTTCTATACACCCTTTTTTCTTTTTAATGCTCATCCTGTATAAAGGCCCTTTAACTGCAACCTGAACAGGGGTTAGTTAGAAGAGGCCTGTAGAAATCCTCTCTACACCCCAGAACATTTGAGAATCTGTTTCTTTTGTGTGCATCAGATTTTGATACAGTATGAAAACACGCATGCTGTATGTTTTGTATCTCTCGTAGCTACTTCTCTGACTTCCTCACTGTTAAGCCATTCTCTCTCTTCTTTCTGTATCTTCTTTTGAAAGTCTTATCTGTAAACAAAGGCATTGTCCATATTTGATACTGGATTTTATTGCCACTGTTGGGTCCAAACCCTGTGTGAGCAGGAAACAAAGCCTTGTTGTAAACCAGTGAGTGGAAGGTGAGATAGTGATTGCATTTTTCAAAGCATTGTTTTAGCTGAATGTCAAGACAAATTCTATTGGAGAGTTTCTTTTCTCACTTAAAATGGCCTGGGAAACAGAATTTTTATTTGCCCTTCAATATGCTTAGCTTTAAGCCAGTTTAAAATAATTTAAAAGTTTTTTTTATACAAGACCATATTTACATGCAATTATTATTTGTAAACATAATGCCTTTCTTGAAATGCTAAGGTCTAGAGAGTGAAAAGGATGCTTAATATTGAAAGAGTCCGTTCAGAGTAGCAGTGAATTGACTTGGAGTTCAGGAAAAGAAAATGTGTTTTATTGAACTACCAAATTTCCTAGTTAGCTTTTAATGAAGTGACAATTCCATGTCGATAAGGTAGATGTTACTGTGTGTTCCAGCTACCCAGATCATCACTACACTAAAATTACAAGCAATAAGCTATTTTAAACAAGTTTAAGCCAAAATGCTTTCCACTTAGGCACAATAGTATCTTCTCAGTTGAACTCTATTTTCGTAACAGTGATGCCTTGTGACTTGAATTGTGATTTTTTTTTTTTTTTTTTAAACAGAATCTTTATTTAGATAGCTCTGGTTCTAGCTCACTGGTCAGTTTAACTGACCGCCTCCAGTCAGCTGCTGCAGATGAGTTTTTGAAAGGTTCAAGTTTTTAAAATAAGGAATTGTGAAAAAGGTTGTAAATTGAAATACAAAGACAAAATGATGAAAATGTTCACATGGAACTTACAAAAACTACATAATGATCTAGACTTTATCATTTCAAAGTGGTTTTTTTTTCTTTTTAGAATATGCATGCCAAATGTCTTGTCTTTTTCAATTATTTGTAATATACATTTTATGACTGGAAACTTTTTGTACAACACACTCGAATAAATGTTTTGCATTTTGTTTGTTTCCTTCTTTCATTTAACTGAGAGGCCACATGGGCTGTTTGAGATGATTCATCCCAGGGGACCTTCCTGTGTGTAGAAAGATAGGGGACAATGAGCTATCCGCACTCCTAAAAGAGATCAGCTGAATCCTGTGGTGTGCTCCAGAAGCAAATGAATGCTTTGCTTTAAACTCTACACAGACGCACCGCTTGTGGAAAGTGCTGTCCTCTCTGATCAATAGCACTGCTCCCAACAAAAGCAGAGGGAAGAACCTGAGTAGCTGAAGCAGGTAAACTTCCCCTTCCTTTCTTGTCGCCCCACTGACCTCTCCAACCCCTGTACTGAAGTGCTTGTTTCCATTTAGCCCACTTGATCCCGACTTGAGAGGACAAGAGCAGATACTGAGCCCTGGCAGCCATCGATTCTTGGGAACTAGGAAATGGTCCGAAGCATTGCTGTGAGCTGCCATGTTCATCGTTAGCCTAGCTCAATTTCCAGTCCATTTCTTTTCACTAGTCTGTACTCATAAAATTGTACCATAGGCAACTACCCCATCTTTAGCGCTAGCTGATAGTAATTCTGCAAGGTGTAGGAATGATTTCTTTTTCAAGTGGACAGAGCCACGGATAGGATGATATGGTTTACAATACTCTCTCTTCTGAGTGTAGGCTCTAGCTAGTGAAGATGAGGGTAGCTTTGGCTTTAGCTCTGCTGTAATGCTCAGTTCCTCGTCTCATATAGAGGTAAGCAGGTGAGCTGCCGTTCATCGTTAGCCTAGCTCAATTTCCAGTCCATTTCTTTTCACTAGTCTGTACTCATAAAATTGTACCATAGGCAACTACCCCATCTTTAGCGCTAGCTGATAGTAATTCTGCAAGGTGTAGGAATGATTTCTTTTTCAAGTGGACAGAGCCACGGATAGGATGATATGGTTTACAATACTCTCTCTTCTGAGTGTAGGCTCTAGCTAGTGAAGATGAGGGTAGCTTTGGCTTTAGCTCTGCTGTAATGCTCAGTTCCTCGTCTCATATAGAGGTAAGCAGCGATCTCCTTTCTGCACATCACATCTGCTCCTGAAAAAAGCTCCACAGCGTTGTTGTCTCCCATTTGCTTCTACCACCTCCCACAGCATTCTTACTTAATGGAGGATATACCATTGTGGAATTAATGCAGGCTTTAAGGGCATGAGCCTTTTACCTGAGTCATCTAAGGCAGAGGAAACCATCACCGTAGCCTCAAAGGACAGAAGAATTCATTCCAGAGAGAATTCACCAGGAAGTTGCTCTCTGCAGGGAGCCCAGATCGTAATGCTCGTTATTTCATGTCAGGATGTAGCTGTGCAGCATTTTGCTCTGTGGTAAAGCCAGTTTAAGTCCCTTCCCATTGCCTCGGTGCATGGGGCTGTGCTTAAAGCCCAATACTCAAATGCTGCGCTGTATTCAAACCTGCAAAACGTCGCAGGTCTGGCGGACGGTCCAGCCCAGTGCCCAGCCACCTCCCTCCTCACCGCTGGGGAACGCGAAGCTGGTGAGTTAACTTGCAGCCCGCGCAACCAGCCCGCCTCCTGCCCCACCACTGCAAGCGATGCAGGTGCGTTTCCAGCCCCAGGTCTTAAAAGCTTTCTGAGGGCCTCCCCCGCCACAGCCGGTGGTGACACCAAAACTCATCCTGACACGGGCCTCTGCCCTCACCCCAGTGCCCGGCGGGGCCGCGAGGCGCGCTGGAACAAGCGTCCTCGGGCGGAGGGGTCATCCACTTCCCGCCCCGCACTGGG